TTATATGAACAGCTCTTCTGAGAGACGACGCGCAGCTCCGTGATACAGAAGAGAAACCGCCGCAGAAGAGATGACCGCGCTTCAGGTCACTAAGAAAAATTCTGAACTGACTGACGCTCACATAGCCGTCACCTGAAACCCCATTCGGCCAGTGTAGTAAAAGGTAGACGGACATTCTGTACAAAACGCCTAAAAAGTGTGGTCAGTAGACAAAGCCATTTGACAAAATCGAATGAACTGGGAAGCACAAACAAAAATGGCCTCCTACAGCTCAATTAAAACTACCGCGGCGGTCCAGGAATATTCTTCATGCAAAGGGTGCTAAAAGTCTCAGGTGAAAGGCCTCTATCCGGTAATGGGACAGTTTTTAATATTGCCACGTACAAATGTTGAGCGTTAAATGTAGGCCTTTGTTTCCATCAGTTAATTAGTCCAGGAGCTAACAAGTTATTGTGCGACGTTACGGATCTGCGGTAGACGGAAGATCTGTGGTCGGAGGTATGAAAGCATGTGGTGACAAATCACACGAGATAGACTATCATGGGCATCTGCACTAAACAGTGATGATTGCCATTAATTTCGAAGAAGAATGTAGAAAATGTAAACGGCATATTTTCCTGATAAGTTTCAAATATATTTTCCATTTTCATCTTCCGTAGCCGCTTCTCTTTTCGGGTCGCGCAAGCACACATGCCAGACTGTGGTCTCAACGTTCTCGATCTTGTGCCAGCAACTCACCTTCGGCACAATTCTACTAGAGTCTAGAACACACTCATTCAATACGCTTGCAGCCTGTTTATCTTCGCAGTCCCCTAGACCTTCTGTCGGTCGGCTGGGCAAGAAATACTTGCTTCGCCTTCCTTTCTGGAGGCATTCGCCACACATGACCAAACCATCGCAACTGTGACTTCTCAGTCTGAAGAAGTAAGGGCTGTACATCAAGGCTCTCCTGGATATCTGTATTCCGGACCATGTCGGACGCGTAAGGCCAGCGACTCGTCTCAGAAAGCCCATTTCATCCGCTCGTACCCGGGTTCGAAATTTTTCAGTGATGGTCCATAATTCATGGCCGTAGGTAAGCATGGGGATAAAGACCGACTTGAACACCGAGAGCTTAGTCTTCAGCCTCATCTTTGCATTAGTCACAGTTGTTCGAGCTAGTACACGCCGCTGGCTACACCAACCTGCCGGTCGATCTCTCGATCTCTTCCTCAAATTTTCCATCACCAGTAAACCAGCAAGAAATTTAAATTCTCCTCCTGCTCCTCTGCTTCTCCGTTTATCTGAATGGAGCAGCGGGCAGGAGAACGGGAAAGCACTAGGCTTTAGATGCGTTCACACGCATGCCGGTCATGTTACACTCGGCTGCGAAACTTACTAAAGAGCGCTGTATATCAGTTTCAAAAAGATGCCAACAAAACATGGTTGAATGGAAGCAGCAACCTTCTTGTCTCGAAATCTACGCTGATACACTAATTGCTTAGCCTATGCTTGACTCTTCTATCCGTATTCAACACCAGTACGAGAGGGGACAGAACGCCGCATTGGCGGAGATCGTGCCAACGCTGGTAGGATTCGGCTTAGCGCCGTTTAATCTAACGCAGCTCTTGTTATCATCGTATAGCGATTGGATGGCCCGCAGCAACTTACCATTTGATCCCATATGTTCCCTAGCATGCCCACAGACTGTTGCTCGATTCCGGTCATTGGCTTCCTCTTGGTCAAGAGAGTACATATACACCAGATGAGCAAACTCCCATGGTT